ATTGAAATGCAAATACATGTGCAGGTTGTGATATGATAAATAGTCATGGACACTTGGATACGCGTTGAGAGTGTGTTCACAGATGAAAAGGGGGGTTGGATGGCCGAATGGTTAGGACGTGTGCGCTGTATCATAAAGCCTGTCATTGAGTCAACTGGCGTGGTTTCGAATCCTCGGTTGTAGGTGACAAGGAGTAGGGTCGCTTGTCCAACCTCGTGGGTTTTCTCCGGTTTCCTCCCACTGCTAAAGACCCCTACGCGCAAGCGAATTATTGAAATAAAATTAAACCATATGTTAGTCCCGAAATGACCTAGTTTTTGTCGAGTGGACATTAAACCTCATTTCTCTCTCTCTCCCTCTCTCTCTCACACAGATGAAGAACTTATCGCCCCAAAAGAACCACTGAACTGCACATGCGACACGCAATAGCGCCATACACGTGGGAGGGGTTCATTGTCAAATTTGACACTTCAAGGAAGGGTTGATGAACTCTGCCGCGTGCTGGTTTATCTATCCATGTTTATCTACTCATTATTAAGACAAAAATCAAAAACGTCCATTTTCACTTTTGACGGTGTATCTCTTTGCGAGTGAAATGGGGCCGTCAAATAAACCGCCCATATGAAATGTTTATGTTCATGTGTAGGCAATTGGCCTGTTATTAACATACACTGGTTACCTCTAATAAAAACAGCAGTGCATTTCCGCAGTTTTGTATTGTTTCTGAATATCCCCTACTTTTTTTAAGAGTATATAACAACTCTTCCAGATCCTAGTGCTGGAAAGACAAGTAAACCGAAATTTTGAACTATAAATAACTAAACGAAATAGGATCTGTGTTTTAATCGGATTACATTTTGATCCACACATCTTAAGTTATACTAGGTCCCCGTGCATGTCTATTACAGATGATAATTGTGCAATTTTGTGTGTATCTGTCATGCAGTAATTAGATATCTATGGATAAACTGGAGTTTAATCTTCTTCATTCATTAAGTTTTCCTTTGATTTCTCAAAATAAGAAAAACAAATGAGTTACTAGGGTTAAATGTAGGCTGTAATTATATTATGATACTGCTCATGTACTAACTATACATTATAAGCCCTCGTATTTTCCATAAATTCAGTGGCATATTCTAGTCACAACAATATCTTGCTGAACAAGTTTCACTCATCAAACTTTGTTTCCAATGCAGCAAACTCTAATATGAGTTTAAATCTCAAAACCTAATGGAATACTTTCTTCTGTAGTATTTCAGTTTTTATTTCGCTATAATAGTCAACGATTTCATATCGCATTTCACATTATATTGCACAGGATATCTGGGTTTAAGTATATTATATAGTCAGTTATGATTGTCAATTAATAACACTGAGTATGGAAATGGTCGCCGTAATTGCTCCGAGCAAATATAGACGACTTTTACCAATTAAAAGTTTTCCCAAGCTGTATTATACGGTGTCTGGATAAAACCAGACTTTTATTTTATAAAAAGTATGTGTAGGTGAAATTTACATTTCGTTATCAAGCACAGCACCTGGGCCATACACTGTATATCACTGAAAAAAAACTTGTGTCGATTTATAAAATCTTGTGTTTTTTTCATATCATTAACACAAGTAATGTGTACCTTCCAAGATTTGTTTTCTTTTTAAAAAAAAAACTCCATACAAAGTCTGAATTCGGGAGTCGTCAAGTTTTAAGAAAAGTAATAAAGGGCTTATATCACATCTCGAAAATCACATGCTGTTCTTCACTGGAAGGGTGTGAGTACCAATTAATCAGACAATTGCCAGACAGACTTGAATGTTAATTGATGTTAGTTGTCTGTATAGTTAAAATGTCTGTCTTTTTTTATTGACCCAATAAACTGATAGATCAAATGAATATATAGTGTACATGTGATTTTCAGCACCCTGGTGTTTTCGAAAATTGATTCAATGTACAATGAACAAAAAAAATGAGTAAAACTCTTAATAATGTAATTGGTTGATGTAATCGAAATTGGACAGTATTGGTTAACTGAAAAGTAACCAAACAAATTTAATTGATCATCCACGTGTATCTCATAATCGACTTATTGATATAATGGTTCTCCAAGTTATCTATACTTTTTGTCTGCGATATCACTTCGGTGGAAGCGGACGTAAAATACAACTAACTAAGAAGAAGTATCTATACTTTAGTCATTGCGACAAATTCTTTCTTTGATATTATATCAGCGACATTCAGTTAGATAGATGTAGTGAAGTTAGCATCAACAGGGTGCTTTAGCCGTGATATTTTAAAAAAAAATTATAATAATCACATAGAATACCAGATCGCAGGTTTGTAAATTTTTACAAAAAATAAAACCGTGTATTTAATTTAGCATGTATATATTGCTTCTATGTATATAATAATTCGTTTCGTTTAAAACAGTCAGATTTAGAACTACTGCCACTGACTGCACCGGAAGTCTATTTATATAATGGCGCCACAAAGAAATTTTTTTTGATGTGTTCTAAAAGTGTTCCGCTAATTCAGCAATCTAATGAATCTGTCTTAATTTTTCTGAAATCGTGCTTAATTATTATTAGCTAATCGGCGCTACACCGTTGTTCAAATACTTATAATTGCAAGAAACCCCCGGCTAGGACCAGCAGGTAAGAATCTGTCTTGATTTTATAGTAATACCCGGTTGCAATTATTGGCCGCCATCTTTGATTTTTATAGACGTTCGGGCAAAAGGAGAAATGTATATCCAGACATGGACTATAGCTAGATACTAACTTTTGTGTTAGTTGTTTAGTTGAAATGTTATCTTATTTCTGTAAAAGAAAAAAACAACAACAAACAAATCAGCCTTTTTTTATATCAATGTCATCAATGTGTAGGTCTAATATTAGACTTTCAATGATTCAGAAGTTTCTCTACAGTTTCGTTATTTTTTTTTCCAGTCATTGATGTTACCATGTACTACACAAAGAAAAACAGGTAACAGAATTTCATTTCCTTTTAATATATTTTTTTAATAATGGCCAATAATTGTTATTGTATGTAACACGAAAAGTATTTATCTCTGTAGAGAGAGGGTGAGTAAAAGGGGTTTAAAGTTCACTAAATTCACTTGACACAAACTATGCCATTCATTTCCTTGTATTGAATTGGTCGAATCAAGTAGGTCCATGCTATATATATGTCCTAGAATCAAGTAGGACAGGTAGTCTTCTTCCGTTTCCGCCCTTTTCCTGAACACTCTCTCATTCTATTGCCATCTGTGTATGTTGTGTTATATTAATTCTGCATAATTAACTCTAGTTAACCTAGTTAACTCTATAATAATAAATGAATTTAATATATAAATAAATAAATAAAATATAAATAAACCAATAATATATTTGTAGTTTAATATGTTTTATCTTATCATCACAGGCAAAGCATGAAGCCAAAGGAAATGTTTTTACCAAGGCATGTTCCTCAATAGCGGAGAGGGTTTTATCCAGTGTCGGTTCTGCAGAAGAACCCATTCATAGCAGACCACCCATTGCAGCACTATTATACTGTTAGAAAGACTTCAACTGAGATTTTGTAAATATGTATTAAAAGTAAAAATGTCTACTCCAAATGTTATGGTCTATGGTGAACTTAGTGTATATCCTTTGCAAATTTATATAAAATATAGAATGATTAATTACTGGTATAAGCTTGTAACAGGTCCCAGATCTAAAATCGCTTGTGTACTGTATAACACTTTGTATAAATCATATGAGCCTAATACATGGTTAAATTATATAAAAGACGCTTTGAACAGTGCTGGGTTGTCTTATATTTGGGATTCCCAAGCCTGTAACATTAATGCTAATTGGTTAAAGCAATGTTTACTGCTAAGGCTAAAGGATCAATATCAACAAGAATGGAATAGCACTGTACATAATACAAGCAAATGCAAAAATTATCGTTTATTTATATCCACGTTCATCTTTGAACAGTACTTAATAGATCTACCTCCGAAATATAGACATTACTTTAGTAAATTTAGATGTCGAAGTCATAGACTGCCAATTGAAGCCGGGGTTTTCATAAAGACCCCAGAAGAAAATCGTATTTGTTCTCTCTGCAATACAGGTGAATTAGGCGACGAATTTCATTACATTTTCAAATGCCAAATCCTTAAAAATGAACGTTGTAAATTTATAAAAAGTTATTACCTGAAGTGTCCTTCAGCTATCAACGTGTACAATATATTTAATAGCCACGGTGCAGAACTGGAGAATCTATGTAAATTCATCTCTATTATTGTAAATAAGTTTAAATAAGTTTAAATGAATACTGAATGTTATCTGTAATGATGTGTATATTATATTATCTGAAAATACTATGTACGTATACTATCACTAACTGTAAATATTTTATGTGTATATTATATTCATGTGTCTCACTGAGATTTTGAATAAAGATTATTATATAAGGTCGCTATAAAGAACCCGACAGACTCTGCGACCAAAAGATCCCACTGACGTGTCGTCAAGCGCAAGTACTCATGCAATTAAATACCCATGTATATAAGAATTTATTAACATGTAATTAAATATACAATTTTATTTATTTATTAACATGTACTTAAATGTATTTTTTTATTTATTTTTTGTTTTAGCTTGACGAAGATTTCATCGATCATAGTGCACCGGGATTTTATCAAAAAAGAGTAAAAGTTGGGGAAAGGCGCCATCACATTTTTTGTACTGATAGACAGATGCAACTACTCGCACGCGCAAAAACTTGGTATATGGATGCAACTTTTCGGGTGGTGAACAAGCCATGGTCTCAGCTGTTTTCCATCCACGCCTTCATTAAGACTGGAGAGACCACCCGACAGTTACTGTAACAGCACACCTCGTTACGCAGGCAGCCAAACACAAATGAACAGAGGTGTGATGCTCTGCGCAATCTTCTGGGATTAAGTCGCAAGCTTTTTACTAAATGTGTACCGGAATAATCAACAAATTCAACATACAAGTTTTAGGGTTCAATGAATTCTCTTTATATCATCATTTAGTTGACAGACAATTCTAAGTTGATTATATGATGAATATCAAGTTGAACATACACACAATACACATATGTGAAAACTGAAATAACAAAAGTTAACAGAATTACTAAACGGTACTAATTGATATACGATAATAACTATAGCACAACGTACAAACTACGTAATATTGTTAGCTAGGAAACGGCGTTTGACAGTGCCTGCATGACAGCTAATACAATACACAAGATTTCAAACCCAAAACGCAATTATACATATCAAATAAGAATACTGACATATACTTAGTTATGTGATGGACATATTAACTGATAATTACAACCAAAAATATATGTTTATAACACAATACCTTTTTGACTTCACCCCTTTCCGCAACGCACAAATTTGGCTGCCATGCTTGATCCCAGACGAAAGACCACGATTTATTGGAGTAACTAATAAATTACATATACAAATTCGAACCAAATATTTATAATCATAATTTGATTAACTGAATAATAATGTACGTATTTAATATTTACTCTAATATATAGAATCTACTAATAAACATATCTATACTTCGGATATAAAATATAATTAGGAAACCATAGAATGTAAACAATTGATGCTCCCAATAGCTACCCCTCTAGTAAGTCATACGGTCTATACTTGACTATGCATTCATTCAATCGCAACACTACGGCAAGACGACAATTGTTACATGGCTCCTCAAAATTAGTATGCTGATTTTCAACAAAAAACATAACAACCTTAACTATTACATATTCAATATTTCAACGAACTTAATAAAGAGAGTTCTAATTTTAAAAAGACAGTTCAGTTGGCTCCTTGGCGGGGATTTCCCTGGTCTTCAAGTCCAAGAAGTAAAACTAATTTCTGTAATGGACGTTCTAAATATACAGGCGGAATTACACATTTTCCATCAGAATTTAAATATTTATTACCAATGTAAAGCTTTACTTTACGCACATGATTGTCCGCATCGGGATATGTTTCAACAACACGACACACCGACCATTGGTTTCGCGGAAGACTATCATCTATCAGAAGAACAATATCACCGTTACAAATTTCACATTTAGAATCATTCCATTTAGAGCGCACTTGTTGATTTTGTAGAAATTCGCGTTTCCACCGTGTCCAAAACTCATTGGCCATATACTGCACACGACGCCATCGCTTTTTAGAATAAACGTCTTCCTTTTGAAATTCTCCAGGAGGTGGTAATATAATCTTAGTCTTCATAGTCAACAAATGATTAGGTGTCAAAGGTGCTAAAGATGTGACACCATTAAGAGTATCTACAGTCAAGGGACGACTGTTCACAATTGCTGCAGCTTCATACATAAAAGTACGAAGAGATTCATCATCTAACTGTGTTCCAGACTGCATCATAAGCGTAGAGAGAACAGCTCGCACTGACCTTATTTGGCGTTCCCAAACTCCGCCCATATGACTCGCAGCAGGGATGTTCATTTTGAAAACAAAGTCGCAACCATTTTCTAACAAATATTGTCTAACATGATCATGATTGATCTTATGAATAAGCTCAGATAATTCTCTTTTTGCTCCAACAAAATTGGTGCCGTTATCCGAACGTAACTGGCGTACAGGACCGCGAATAGCAATAAATCGACGCAAACTGTTAATAAATGAGTCTGTTGACAAACTATTCGCAATTTCTATGTGAACAGCTCGACTAGTCATACATGTATATAATACACCATAACGCTTTCGTTCGCTTCTTCCTTCCTTAATAGTCCATGGTCCAAAACAATCAACAGCGCAATATGTGAAGGGAGGCGCAGGCTCTAATCGATCTTCAGGAAGTTCTGACATTTTCTGTTCTTGTACTCTTCCTCGCAATTTACGACAGATGACGCAATGATAGATGTAACTTGAAACGACTGAACTACATCCTAATATCCAAAATCCACTGGAGCGTATCTCATTAGTTGTGAGACCTTTACCTTGATGCTTTACAGTTTCATGGAAATGACGAACGATCAACGTAGTCAAATGATGTTTCTTAGGCAGTATTATTGGATTCTTTTCTGCAGGGTCCAAATTAGACAATTTAAGGCGTCCACCAACTCGAATTATACCATTATGATCAAGATATGGATCTAACTTATATAACGATGATGATTTCTTTAGTTTTCTCTTCGCAGCATTATCATCAGTCGCTTTCTGTAATTTCTTCAAAATTTGTATTTCTTCGCTGAAAACTTGTGATTGAAGAAGTTTAATGATTATTGTTTCAGCATGTTGTAATTCATCCACGGTTAAAGGTGTGTAAACAGATTTCAGACTCGCCTGATTAACTTGTATCTTCTTTCTTAATCGCAGACACAGGGCAACAGCTCTTTTAACTCGAAACCATGTTGAAATATGCTTAAAACGTGATAAGTCGAATTTTACAGTAGGTTTTGTTAACTGTGTTGCAAATACTTGAACTTTTCTTACTTCTGGGTCATCCTTGGAAATTAGGGATTCTTCTTTGAAATCGCAATTTACGGGAAGTTCAAGATTCCACAAAAAATCAGGTCCGGTAAACCATTTCGACTGATTAACCAGTTCGTCAACTTCTAATCCACGAGAAGCTGCATCCGCAGGATTATCAGAACTACATACAAAATTCCACTGAGCAGGTGACGACGCTTCTCGAATTTGTTGGACTCGATTCGCAACAAAAGTTTGAAAACGTCTGGCATCATTACTTATGTATCCTAACACAACCTTACTATCGGTCCAATAAATTTCACTAATGTCATCATAGTCGAGTTCACTCTTCAAATGCACACCGACTCTAACCGAAACAAGGGCAGCAGCAAGTTCTAAACGAGGTATAGTTATAGGCTTAAGTGGTGTTACTCGTGATTTCCCAGCAACAAGTGAGCAATATACGTTTTGTTGATCATCAACTAATCGCAAGTATGTACACTGACCATATCCGTAGGTACTTGCATCAGAAAAGTAATGTAACTCTCGAGTTGTTACTTGACCAAAGGTTTGTGGTTTAAAACATCTCTGAATTTTCACTGACGAAAGATGCACAAGATTATCTCGCCAACGTTCCCAGCGTGACCGCATATCTTCAGGAATACTAGTGTCCCAATCAATACGACTTCTACAAAGTTCTTGGAGTATCTGTTTTCCTAATAGTAAAAACGGCGCTATAAAACCTAATGGATCATATATAGAACATACTGTGGAAAGTATTCCACGTCTAGTCAATGGCTTGTCATTCAAAGTTATATGAAATTGAAAACAGTCCGACTCAATACACCATTGTATACCTAATACACGTTCCATCGGAAGTTCATCATTGAATAAATCGAGATCTCGTATCTCCTTAGCTCGGTCTTCTGGATCTATTGAATTAACAACTGTTTTAGAATTTGATACAAACTTATGTAATCGGAGTCCGCACTTAGCTAACAAGTTTCTACTTCCATCTATTAGATTCATCGCTTCTCTTTCAGTAGGAAGAGACTTTAAACCATCATCTACGTAGAAATCTCGTTTCAAAAAATCTGTTACTTCAGAACCGAATTCCTCTTCGTTATCGATAGCAGCCTGTTTCAAACCAAAGTTTGCGCAACCAGGTGATGACCCAGCACCAAATAAGTGTACTGTCATCCTAAAATCCGTAGGCTCTTCCTCATCATTGATCCACCAAAGAAATCTTAAATAATTGCGATGTTCTGTATTTACACGAAACTGATAGAACATCTGTTCTATGTCGCAAATCACAGCTATGGATTCTTTTCTAAATCTACAGAGTACACCAGTTAGCGTGTTAGTAAGATCTGGGCCTTTAAGAAGATGGTCGTTTATTGACTGTTCTTTAAATCTGGCATTGCAATCAAATACTACGCGTATTTTGTTAGGCTTCTTCGGGTGGTAAACCGCGTGGTGAGGGATATACCATATTCTACCGATATCTTGATGAAGTTCATCCGCAGGAACTTTTTCTGCATATCCTTTACTTATAATGTCTGACATAAACTGACGATAATCACGCCGATAATTTTCATCCTTCTTAAATTTATTACGCAATGGTAAAAGTCTTTGTAACGCATGAGCTCGGTTGTTAGGAAGTGTAGGTTCCCTATCTCTAAATGGCAAGGGCATCTCATAGTGATTATCAGATGTTAAATGTATACTTTCTGACATTTTATTCAAAAACTGTTTATCTTCACGTGAATATGTTTGATTACTGCAAGAGTGGAGATCACTAAAGTCAGTTTCTAAAATCTTGAGAATATTAAAAGGGCTTACGATTTCTTTCACTTGAGTTTTAAATGAAATAAACGCATGTCGTGTTCGAATGTTTAGATCGGAGACTTCTCTAATCGAATGAAGTGGTTGAACATTACTCTCAGTTTTATGACTACAAAACATAAACTCATCGCATTTAAGTTCATTATTTATGTCTGGATCAACATTACCAATAATTCCCCATCCAAGATCTGTCTTCTGACCAAAGGGTTCATTCAATACAGGGGGGATAACTTCACGAGGTAATAACGCACGGGAACAATTATAACCAATAAGCAAACCAATCTAACAAGAGTTCAGTGACATTAATTCATTCGCAATTGTTTCAAGGTGAGGCCACCTACGTGCTATTTCAGGTGTAGGGATATGAGAACGATGAGCAGGTATTTCGTTTCTTGTATACGCAGTTGACAAAGGAATTCTAATGTCACAGTTATGTCCTCTGATAATTAAGCCAGTCATTTTACGACTATCTACTCGCATATCTTTCGCAAACATTGTTGATAATGATAACTGTATGTGGGGTCCATCGATACCTAACCGATCGCAAGTAGTATCTGAAATGAAACTAGAGTCTGACTGAGTATCTAAAAGGGCATATACAAGACATTCTAATTCTGGATTTGACATATGGGAAATCCACACAGGAAGAATCATCGAACAATTACTTGATTTATCGCTAATGTCCAATTTACAATTATGACTTGTAGTTGCAGGCCTTTCTGATGTATCAGTTCTTTCATGCACATCACCATGTAAAGCTGTTGGATGATACATGTTACATATATCGCATGTTTTTCTTCTACGACAAAACTTGTAATAATGTCCAGGATTTAAGCAACTAAAACATAATTTGTTGTTTCTTAGAAAGTCTTTTCTATCATCAATTCTTTTCTTCAGAAAAACAGAACATCTATCCAAAATGTGTGGATCTTTACAGAAGAAACAAACAGGTTGCCTTGGCGCATTTTCATAAACTTTCGACCTTGAGGGTATATAGTTTTCTGACGAGTTCGTTGCAAATGAACCAACATTTCCAGGAGGTCTCCTAAAATGTGACTTATCTGATGACCAGCTTGATTTATTATTGTACCTTAACGAATCTGGTTGATTTAACTCCTTTCCAGGTTGTTGTAAAGATGTTACAGGATCGCAAGCAATGTTTGATTCTTTATCAATAAATTTCGCAAATTCAACAAAGGGAGGGAATGTCATTCTCTCAATTCTCCAGTCATGGACAATACGTGCCCATCGTGATACTAAATAATCAGGAAGTTTCTTAAGTAATTTCTTATTTTCCCTATCATCGTTCAAAACACATAAACTTCTAGTAGTCCGCATCGCCACTTCACACTGACGCAAAAAATCCGAAAATTTCCGCAAACCTATTCCATCTCTGTAATGAATTTTAGGCCAAGCATCAAGTTTATCGCGAAACGCATTGGCAATGACAAATGAATTACCAAATCTATCATCAAGAAGTTTCTTGGCTTCATCGTACGCATCTTCTGTCGACAACAGGAAATAATTCTCAACTCACTCTCTCGCAGATCCACTTAAATAACGCTTAAGATAATACATTCGTTCTGAAACAGGAATGTCCTTTTGGTCTATCAAAGTTTGAAACGCGCTTTTCCAACTTGGGTATTTTAACGGGTCTCCAGAGAATGTACCAGGCTCAGGAGGGGGTAAACGACTGAAACTCGCATGTTCCGCAAAAACTTGTGCTACTCTGACTAACGGATCATCTTCATTAATTGACCTTGTAGGAATGTAATAAGCTGGCTTTGTTGACATTACAGGATTCGGTTGTTGACTTGAATAAACTGTTGAACAGGTTTCTTGAGAACGCAACGCATAAGGGTTAATTTGAGATGTTGAAGGGGTATAAAGAGGATGAGACACAGAATGACTAAGTTCAACGCTACAGGATGACGCAAACGCAGAATTATTAACTCCTGTATCATAAACTCTCGCAAACGCAAAGTTATTATCTTCAACACAAGTTACAGGTGAACAATTATTCTTGTCAGTATCTCTATCTAACGCAGACGCACGGTTTGTAAGTTCAATATCGCTGGAGGTCGCACGCACAAAGTCACGTTGAGCTTCGCAGACAGGTGTTGACGCAAAATTAGTAGGTCTGTTATCGCAATTTGTCGCAGTAGTAGCATTTGGAGTTACAGGTAGATTTGATGAGTTATTCAATTTGACCGGTTCAGACTCAGAATTGTGCAAAGTGTTCACATAATCTTGAACGTATTCAGTTTTATCTGCAGACAATGCAGAATCAATGGCACGGCTTGTTCTATCATCCTCTTGTTCTATTTTCGCAATAGCATCTAACTTGGCTTCCGCAATTTCAATATCTCTAATTGTTTCTAAACGATTTAATTCTAATTGTTTCTGTGAAAGGACATCAATAAATTTCAACTTCGACTTTAATGCAGCAGCCTCTGCAGCAAGATCAATCTTCTTTGAATAACGTGATGAACTTGACGCACAACTTCTTGTCCTATACGAAGATTGGCTGTGTGATCTTCTAGTTGAATGACTTGACTCCATCGCAAAAATCTTTTCTGTACCGCAATATACGCAAATTAGGAGAAACAGCTACAAGTTTACACACAGGGCTAGATTCAAAGAGTTCGCAAAATAAATAGGCTTATACATTGGCCTACGCACGCAAATGTTTTACAATAAAATGTTCGCACAAAAAATACCATCACTCGCAAATATGTGAATAAAGTTTTCACTGTAACAGCACACCTCGTTACGCAGGCAGCCAAACACAAATGAACAGAGGTGTGATGCTCTGCGCAATCTTCTGGGATTAAGTCGCAAGCTTTTTACTAAATGTGTACCGGAATAATCAACAAATTCAACATACAAGTTTTAGGGTTCAATGAATTCTCTTTATATCATCATTTAGTTGACAGACAATTCTAAGTTGATTATATGATGAATATCAAGTTGAACATACACACAATACACATATGTGAAAACTGAAATAACAAAAGTTAACAGAATTACTAAACGGTACTAATTGATATACGATAATAACTATAGCACAACGTAAAAACTACGTAATATTGTTAGCTAGGAAACGGCGTTTGACAGTGCCTGCATGACAGCTAATACAATACACAAGATTTCAAACCCAAAACGCAATTATACATATCAAATAAGAATACTGACATATACTTAGTTATGTGATGGACATTTTAACTGATAATTACAACCAAAAATATATGTTTATAACACAATACCTTTTTGACTTCACCCCTTTCCGCAACGCACAAATTTGGCTGCCATGCTTGATCCCAGACGAAAGACCACGATTTATTGGAGTAACTAATAAATTACATATACAAATTCGAACCAAATATTTATAATCATAATTTGATTAACTGAATAATAATGTACGTATTTAATATTTACTCTAATATATAGAATCTACTAATAAACATATCTATACTTCGGATATAAAATATAATTAGGAAACCATAGAATGTAAACAATTGATGCTCCCAATAGCTACCCCTCTAGTAAGTCATACGGTCTATACTTGACTATGCATTCATTCAATCGCAACACTACGGCAAGACGACAATTGTTACAGTTACCATTGGTGTTTTGTGTAATGTCGGGTAAAAGCGAAGACGACTATTATAAGGTAAATAGCACTTACTGATTGAATTACTATTAATAGTAAAAAAGGACTATTATTTGGGACCTTGAAATTGTCACAAATGGGTCGCACTAACAGCGACATTTGTTTCAGGCATATTTGTTTCATCGGTGACACGTCTGGTGTCATGTGAATGCAACGACAACAGCCTGGTTGATTGATTTGTTGATTGGAGTTCAGATGTCTACATTAAAATCGACCACTTTCAGGTTGCCGTATTCACGGCCAGGCAAGACCGACTTGCCCCAACAAATCCCCAGACGGTGCGTTTCACGACTTTGGCGCAAGACGGTGACCTTGAAGAGACGTCGAAAACCATTTAATAGACATAGTAAAAGTCATATCTTACGAGATTATCGCTGGTCTTGTCAGAAAATGCTATTTTATATATGACCAGTTTGTGTTTGAAAAATTTAATTATTTATTCTCCCACCATTAAAGCACACTAATTACGAAATATCGCTCTCAGAAACTTCATGGTTTCTTTTGCAATTTGTTTGGGGTAAGACGTTATATAAATAATATCAATCTATCTACCACACAAATTTAACAGATACAAATGCATGTTATTCCACAGGTAGACAGGCAGGGCCTCCTTTGAAGGGACTCAGTGAAGGGAACGTGGTTGGTTTAGAGTTTGTCTGACCCCTTTGAATATTTGCGTCTCATCTCCAATGAAAACAATCATGTTGCTCTCATGCTGTTCTCAACCAGAATCAAACATATATCGTACCTGAGATTTGTTAGCATGTTCCACACAACCCAACATTTATCGGCACCGGGATTAAGGGTGTATATCTTTGTTTCTAACGCTTATTGTGAATACGCCACGGAAACTACAATAAAAACTTATTTACAAAAACATTCTAAAGAGGGAGAACTGACATATTTCAAGCTTTACTGTATTTAAAGAAATAATTTAAATCAGCCGGCTGAAACCCCGTCTCCGCTATTTGTTCAGTCATTCTTTAGGTATAGTGCCAGTTTCCACCGACAATGATATTGCAAACAAGTGTCCAATCTATAAAAGCATACATTCCTAAAAAATGTTTCTTTAGTCAAGTGAAACAATAAATTCATAACTATGCGAGGGTGTGGTAAGTAAGTTCGTGGTAACAAGTGTGAATAGGCTAATGTGACATAGAACAAGGTCACATTGATGTTGACAAATACGTAAGACGATATGAACATCAACTAAAAAGATATGTAATGTGATTCAGCTGCAAGGTGATATATGCATATATGCAGCATAGATATTTAAAACTTCTATTCAAGTTAAACCAACAGTATCTATTTATTTAAGTCTTACGTCGAGCTGAATACATTTTATGATTTATTTTCATCTATTGGTGGTTAAAAGTGTGTAACTAAAAACTAAAATTGGATCTTATTATTGCCAATGATATAATGTACATGTAATAGCAAGTGTATATATATTTTTTGTTCAGTCTGTACACAGTAACATATCTGAGAACCATATTATTATCATTTCTGCCCAAGGCTCCCTGTGCCTTATAGTTAGCAGTGATACAAGGCAATTACCAATTTTCCATGTTTTTGGCCTGAAGAAATAAAATAATAAAAGTCAAGTTTTTATTATTATGCAAGTGGAAAAATACAATTATTCATAGTATGATTTGAATAAATACAACTGATTTGAAGTTGGAATTATTATTTGTCTAAGATGACTGGGCATTTACAAATTGAAATAGCTACTCTTCATCAAGAAAATACATGAATATTTTTCCCAATTCACCTGGATTTTATTGTAGGTCTTTGTACGTGAAATAGCTTTATTTAACGTCCGCTACCACCGAAGTGATATTGCAGAAAATTAACAGTTAGTTAGTGTTAGTTGAATTTTACGTCCGCTTCCACCGAGGTGATATCGCAGAAAATTAACAAATTCGGATTCCCTTTTAAAGGAAATTGACTGCACTATCGCTGGATTGTATTATATAGGTCATGTCAGTTTTTTTCAAAATGGCGCCCAGAACACAAAACAAACATTGCAATTCAGGGCTGACTGGTGTCGAGGCTGTATCCTAAGAATGGTTTTTTGAATATTTAATCACACAGAAACACAAGTATGCACATGCAGTTATGATATAATATTAAATTAGCTTACCTCAAATACCTCGAAATATACTGTTTGGTCAGTTTGTCCGCCCGCCATATTTCTATTAGTCACAGATCCTTCGGCCAATTAAAATGGACGTATATTTTGTTTTAACCGAAACGAAAAGTTTGCGTTATAAATAGTAAACGAGCTTGATTGACCGACCACTGCTAATGTTTTTTCGTGAAACGGTATAACCTCAATCAACACACGGCCGCCATTCTCGATGATTGATAACTCACGTTTTTCCTCATCCACCAAAGAACCGTTAGGTTTCTTTGAACATACTGTAATAACATTGGGATTATCAGCTTTAATTATCCCGATTTGATCGTTGCCATTTCTTATATTTTCCACAAAAAAACTTTGTGCCTTGTACGCACTAATTTATCAATTGGTATTGCCATCTACGACAAGCATGTCAACGTGCAGCTCACGGATTATCGTTAACAATTTCTAGGGGCTTGTAAAAAAAGATTGCATGTCGTGTAAATATTTATTTTGTTTTTTGTGTAGGTCATTTTCAAATAAATTCATCAGCATATTATTCGTTTTAAATAAATATAAAACTTTTATGAGAAACGATGATTATCAAAGAACCGTAAGTGCAACTAATGTTTTATCGTTTGGTTGAGCCTTTTACTAACCACGTGTTTCATGTTAATAAATATTTTCTTTCGTGTTTTGTTTGAATTGGCCTATTTCTAATAAATTATCCCGAGTCCCAAACGTCGTTAACCCGAGTCCCAAACGACGTATACCAAAGTCCCAAACGTCGTATACCCGAGTCCCAAATGTCGTGGTCATATTTTTTTGAGTCCCAAATGACGCGAGTCCCAAATGACGTGAGTCCCAAATGACATGTAATCAACCTAGAGTTGTTGTTAGTGTTTGTCGGATAGATCCTTTATACTTACTGGCGCTAGGTAATTTCGAGGCTAATATTGTTCAATTTTATTTGAATGATTTGCTTGCGCGTACCGTAGGAGTGTATTAGAAACAGTGTTCGCGCAGGTTCGAGAACGGCTGAAGAACATGAAAACACTTTCATGAGTGTCGAACATGAGAGAACGGTATCCATGGTAACAAGATGAATTAAATTTATACAATCTGTTACGATAACTTGTTTAGTATTTACTTCGCTATTAAGCATAATTTTGATAAATTATGACACCGTTTTACTCCTTTTCAATTCTTTGGATGGCGATTACATCACCTTTTGATACGCCCTCGTCCGTAGGTTTGTCCGTCGTCTACAGAACTGATTATTTTGAAATTGATATGTTGTTTATTTTAATGAGATGAATCCTATTTAATTTCAATAATTTCTGTTAGTTTCTTCTGGAGTTATGGCCCTTGTTTCACTTTGTGAAATTCATTTGAATCTTTTAAATTAGTGAAACGAAGACGTCTATTAAATTTCTACGATTTCTGTGAATTATGTCTAGAGTTGTGGCCCTTGTTTCACTTTTTCGAACCTTGTGAACGCGCGAACAACAAAATTATCATCCGATTTGTATGAAAATTGTATGCATTATTTAAATTAGTAAAACACAAAACAAAAAAATCTGTCAAAGTTCAACAATTAAGGCCCTTGTTTCAGTTTGTAGAACCTTTGTAAACCCACAAACGACGAAAATTATAATCTTGTATGAAATTTTCTTGTAAATGCCCACATTACCTACAAAAGAATGAATATGCGACAATCCCTGTTGACTGCGCAAACGATTAAACTGCTGTGGGCATATGTTTCGTTGCCTGGCAACCTAACTTACTTGATGTTATACTGGCCACATACTACATCCAATTTTCGAACGGTATTAAACTTTTAAATTAATAAATGCACCCATGATGCTGTTTTCTCAGCAGTTATCGATGCGTCGACCTTTGTAAACCCACAAACGACAAAAATTATAATCTTGTATGAAATTTTCTTGTAAATGCCCACATTACCTACAAAAGAATCAATATGCGACAATCCCTGTTGACTGCGCAAACGATTAAACTGCTGTGGGCATATGTTTCGTTGCCTGGCAACCTAACTTACTTGATGTTATACTGGCCACATACTACATCCAATTTTCGAACGGTATTAAACTTTTAAATTAATAAATGCACCCATGATGCTGTTTTCTCAGCAGTTATCGATACGTCGACCATGTTTGTTCTCCCTCACACCAGCTATGAGGTAGTGTGGGATTTGAGAACGGGAATGTGTTCGTGAACGCATTCCAGACTGCTCAAGTCCGACAAGAACCCATTCTCCGTCCGTTCTCTGCACCGGAACACTGTTTCGAATACACCCTAGGGGTATTTAGCAAAGGGAGGAAACCGGAGGACCCGGAGAAAACCCACAAGGCTGGACAGGCGACCCTATTCCTAGTCACATTCAAGTGGGGAATCACATAATAATGGCCTATTTCAAATAAGATATTTGCATATAAAGAAAGTAGGCTTACAGCCTCTTTCAAATGTGATATTTGCATATAAAGAAAGTACAAACTTAAATCGTCAGTGCTGGATAAACTAGCCAAAGGATTTGGCTGAATCAATTGGCGCTAAACTTCACCTAGTTTATCCACTGACATACGCCCGAATCAAACATGTTTGATATATTTGGCCGAATTGTATTTGAGTGGTGTGTCCGCTTCGCCGAAGCATTCGTCTGATTTTAGAATTCATTAGCCAATCACCACTCATTCATATCGAGTGGGTATCGCAAACTAGCAGTCGAACTGTGACACGGGTGCTACAGCCAACAAATTCCAACTACCATACTATCGGCTTAAATGCACGCCAATGGG